TAAACTACCTACTGCTGGTGTTTTATCTGGGAAAGATCCTAGTTTGGCTACGATTGAAAATTCTGGCCAGGCTAATAAGGTGCAGCAATGTGAAGAGAATTTGGATCAAATTGTCAAATCTGGTGGTACATGTGATCATGACTTCACTTTGAAGGACAATGATAAGGGAGGCTGGACTGAAGTACCAAGCAAAACATTTTCTCCAGGTAACACCAAACTACAACAACTAGATTGCACTAACCCACCACGCAAGGAGCAAACAATAAATTGTGAAGATGAAGTATCAAAGAAAATTGTGTGCTCTAACATCTTTGATGCCCTAATGATCAATTCTGATCAAGAGCTCCATGCTTTGTCCACTCCAATTCTTCAAGTTTCTAATCCAGAAACTACTAGAATAATCAAAGAGTCACATGCCACAATGTTGAATAAAGAAAACCCAATGAGCAAACCACCTATACAGTCAATCTCCAAAAGGAGTGATAAGAGTTTGGTGAAGGAAACAAGTGATTCAAGATGGGCAGATTTAGTTGAGGAAGAGGAGCATGCACCTGCAAGGATTAAGTTAAGTCCTCAAGCACCCATATTTGTGCCTTCAAGTAAGGAAAATCCATCTATGACAGTGACAATTGATAAGTCCAAAAAGATCTTGACCATTACCACCAAGGTATTGGAAAAGAGCCATGAGCCATAAGCTGAAGTTTCAAGACTTAGTCCAACTACAACTTATGATAGTGACTTAGGCAGTGAAATGTTTGACGAGGATGATATGCTAGACATATTATTTGATAAGGTAGCCAAGGTTGGAGATCTATCGCCTAGGCAACAAAGAAGTGGAAGCAACAAAAACAAAAAGAAGACACATGAAAGGCAACATAGTTGGGATGGTAAGGTGACTGAAGAATTTATTCCAAGGAACCTACCAATGCGACTAGCAAAGCAAAATCATATGACAGTTTCAACAACAACACGATCCAGTAAATCCAAAAAGAAGTGATGAACTATCAAGTTTTGTTGGACATATTTGACGAAGAAGACAAGAGGAAAATACTTCAGGTTACTTTACACGGGCAATCCATCTCTTCTAATTCTTACATATATAAAATGAAGTTTGAGGTTGATAACCTACCTTTATTCTTAGATTTTATATTTTTGCATTACTTAAGCATCCTCATTTGTAGTATCATCACAGAGTGTATTATAAACTCTATGATGATCATAGAATATCTAGTTTTCTCTAGCTCTTATTTTCTTCATGCTTGTTAATTAGTAGAGGTTTGTTACCTCATTAAGATTAGTAAGGTAAGGCATCACCCCCCTTTGCTTGTACTTTTCTCTTTGAGATCCTTTTCTCTTTATTAATAAAACTAGCCCTAGGCACACCTTGCCTAGCGGAATTGCTTAAAAAAAATTAGTAGAAGATATTTTTTTTCTCTTTTTGCAAATTTTAAAAAAAAATTGTAACTAAATTATGACTCTTTTTTAAACTGTTTTAAAATTAAAATATTGAAGAATTGAAACATACCTCAATGATACCACGACAGTATGTAGGTATACCGTAATGGTATCATGGATGACTGAGTAATCTCATCGAAGGATTGAAGCAAACCTCAACGAAAATACTGCTCAGTTACTCGTTGATACAGCGAGAGTATATTATATTTTGATTGTATCAAGAAGGAAGAAACAATCCTTCAAAAAAGACACTGCTCAATTACTCTTTAATGCCGATTGTGTTCATCATGGAGAAAGGTTAATTAGACTAATAAGCTGAGTATATACCGCTGGCATTCTGCTATAACAGTATGATTACTAGCTGGTTAGGTAGTTAACTAGTTAGTTAGGTATAGTTAGTCTATAAATAATAGCTAGTACACAAGATGTAAACTACTATGTATTCATTCTTCTCAATCAATACAAACAAGCACTTATTTACTCTCTATGTGTTAGTTCTAGACTTCTAGTAATGACCTAAAAGATCTCATATTCACTCTCCAATAATGGTGAATTTTATCAATACCATCAGACTATATTTATAGTATATAAATATAGTCTGATGGCATCAAAGAGAAAAAAAAATAAAATGGTGACATCGGCATGATGTTAACGCACGAATAGATATATGTCATTTTAAAATAAAAAAAGATATGAAAATAATAAGGTATTTAAGGGTAAATTAAATATTTTACTTTTTTGGGATATAAGTAATTTTTTTTATATATAGTATAATTTTTCAACTGATCAATTTGGGAGTTGAGCCTGGAGGGGGTTTTGATAAGCCAAAATATAGTTCTTGAAAAGCATTGAGGTGACTTTGTTTGTGTGTGTGTTTTCCATTCCCCCAACAATGAGTGTCTGGTATTTGCTTTGGATACTATTTAGATTCATGTTGTATAAGCTTAGTTAGAGGAACCCTAGCAAAGATCTTTTTCACTTTCAAACTCAAATTCGAGATATCTAGTACTATATTTACAAAGACTTGATGCATATTTTGCCTTGTCAATAACAAATTATTGCATAAAAAACACTTGTATAGATTAATATATACATAAAGAATGAAGGCCTAAAATTGGCAAAACCGTATTATATAACTCGGAGAAACGGAGTACTCTTAATACAATATACAATCCAAAAATTGTTGTCAGCTAGCCTATGCTCTTTTACAAAAAAAATATCTTCTGCGCGATTCGGTTCTTTGGTATCTATGCCCACCCCAGGTTTCTTCAGCAGAACAGTACTCTTCTTGTGGATACATTGAATTGTAATGCAATTCAGCACAAAAGCTCAAATAAATGATGTCGATTAATTTGGCTGAAATTGGTGATAATTCTTTAGGGGCAATTATATTGTTAACATATTGCTTACGCTTAGAATTATAATCTTTTGACACGTCGTCAAGCTAAGCAAAATCACTCTGATACTGATCAGAAATATATCGTGGGTTAGTTAGCACACAATCATAAATAATGAAAATAGAGAAGAAAAATAATATAAGAATTTAATGAAGTTTTTGCTAAGCTTAGTAGAGAGAATTTTTCACTATGCTTTAGAATTTCCAATTACATACCCTAATATAGATCTCAAATAATCCTAAACATATAGGGAAAAAGTTTTTCCAATTCTAAATTGAAAAAAAAGAAGAAGAGAGAAAAAAAATACCATAAATTAAGTAGACCTAATTAATTTTTTATCTATGTAGGATTTGATATATAACTTATAAAAAAAAAGTTTCCTAACTCCCTCACGTAACAAATTAAAAGCTCAACACACACATAAGGGAAAAGTAAAAAAAAAAAAAAAAGAGAAAAAAAGTTACTATAAATTAAGTAGACCTAATTCTTATCTATGTAGGTTTTGATATATAACTTATAAAAAATAGTTACTATAAATTAAGTAGACCTAATTCTTATCTACGTAGGATTTGATGTATAACTTATAAATATACGTACCACCAAAAAGTAAAAAAGTGATCGATCATACACAAATTAAGAAAAAAAAAAGGCTGAGTTATATATAAATTCCGCAAACAAGATCAAGAAGAAGAAATAATTACAATGAGGCCTTTTCATCCTGATTATTATATTAACAGGCAGAATTATATTAGTAATAGTTACAAGATGAAGATCAATAATGGAAGTGCAATTCAGAAAATCAAGAAGTGGCTAAAGAACAAGTTGATGATGAGTAAGAAGGACTCATGCGCTAAGAGAAATTTAATTTCCGAGTTGTTAAACGACGACTCATGCGCTAAGAGAAATCCAATTTCCGAGTTGTTAAACGACGACTCATGCGCTAAGAGAAATTCAATTTCCGAGTTGTTAAACGACGACTCATGCGCTAAGAGAAATTCAATTTCCGAGTTGTTAAACAACGACTCATGCACTAAGAGAAACTCACTTTCCGAGTTGTTTTTACTTGATGTTCAAAATTGAGTATGTGATTTAGGAATATATACTACAAATGAGTCATATTTCAAGGTTTTTAGTTTAGTTTACTCAAATTCCAATGCGTCATATATTACAAGTTTTTTTTAGCGTATAATTGAGTAAGAGAATGTCAACTATTGATCACAATAAAATACTTTCAAAAAGCATTATTAATTATTAACTTGTTTAGATGATAGTCTTATATTGTTTCATAATATATCATATAATAGATATGCAATCACATAAATCTGTCTTTACTTAATAAAACTTTCCATCTCATTACATAATAATGGAATCGGCAATAGAGATACAGCAAATTAGTTTAGAAACAATCAAAATATTGTATTTAAAATAATAATACGATACAATACAATAGGTACGTAACAACCATCCAAACAAAGTTGTAAGTCATAATTGACAGTTCCCAGAATTGGAATCTACCTAGCTAGATATGGCTCATCACTCATGGATGGGCATTCTACCTCTGCTATAACAATATTGGAAAAACAATTTTTTTTTTAATCAAACTTCAAACATTAGCCAAAACGCAAAATAAAATGATTTACTACTTCTCGTTCTATATATACATGCTATATATAATATATGTATATATGTTTTTTATAGGGTCCATCTCTAGGAGAATTTGAACTCGAGAGTCGAGACCTCAAGAATTAGCCCAACACTCCCAATATAATATTTTTCATTCTAAAAAAAAAAAGCGTTAATAATCTGAAAACTCTAAGAGTTAATGATACATATAATTTGTTTGTTTATATAAAAATATTATTATGAGCAAGTGTAATTACACTCCACCACTAAAAATTATATACTCTAATAATAGCCACTAAAGTAAAAAAACTCAAAAGTTAGAATTCAAATATTATAACTAACAAACAAAATCCGAACCTTTTGGTCGTTAAGAATATGGTAATCACTACGGCGGCGTCAACATCATTTCATATTAACCGTTTTAACCACCGGCGGCGTCCCCCACTTCCCTTTTTCCGTCAGCCGTCGCCCCTAATTTCCTCCATTTCTTCCATTTCTAAATAAAAACTCCATTGATGGACTCGTAAAATAAAAATAAAAAAATAAATTTATAATGTCTTCCATCAACCAACAAGGTAATGCATGAATCGACTAGTTTGGGATTGAGACGTTGTTATTGTTATATTATAGGATTATACATTGTGTATGTAATTTTTATTTTTATTTTTGTGATTCAGGTTCGATGGATCTGGAAATGGGGCTACCTCCGGTCCCACATCCAATTTCGAACATGAATTACGCCGGCGAGCCATCATCGTCGCCGTCGCCACGAGCACCGGCACTTGTGGTGTCACATTCAAGCAAAGCTTTGATTCCATCAAATTCAGGGAAAGCCCTGTTTGTGTCAAATTCAGGGAAAGCATTACTTTTATCGAATTCAGGGAAAAGGATGGATCCAACAGGGAAGAAAAAGTATGTGAAGCAGGTGACAGGGCGACACAACGACACGGAACTGCATCTCGCGGCTCAGCGTGGGGATGTGGGTGCTGTGAGGGATATATTAGGGGAAATTGATGCACAGATGTTGAAAACCATGAGCGGGGCGGAGTTTGATGCAGAGGTTGCTGAGATAAGGGAAGCAATGGTGAATGAGGTAAATGAATTAGGCGAAACGGCGTTGTTTACTGCTGCTGAAAGGGGATATATTGATGTTGTTAAGGAGTTGCTGCCTTATAGTACAAAGGAAGGGATCACAACGAAGAATCGTTCTGGTCTTGATCCCTTGCACATTGCTGCTAATCAAGGTCATCAAGGTAATAAAAAATTGTATATGGATTTGAAGAATCGTTTTTAGTTTTCCTTATCAGTATTATTATTAGTAACTCTCCTACTATTGTATTCTTCGATTTTACTATTATGTTGTTTTCTTTGCTTCATTTACCCTACTAGTTGTCATTGTTATTGTTCTTTTCTCCATTATTTTCTATATGTGCCTCTCTACCGACTACCTTTCACAAGGTAGGGGTAAGGCTGCATACATGTCATCCTATCCAGACCCCACTTATGGAATTACACTGAATATTTTGTTGAATAGATGTTATCATAAAATGATATTTTAGCTTCCAGTTGTCCATCTAAGTATTTGATTTTGTACTTGACAAGGATGGAGATATTTTAGTCAAGCCTAAGAAGTGTACAGTGTTCTAAGCATAAAAGGTAAACAACAAATTAAAACAAACCAAAAAAAAATAAAATCGAGCCCACGGAATTTACTGTGTGTTCATAAGCAATTTAATCCTCTCAAAGTACCCAAGGTGTTGGATTATGTTTTTCCAGGATAGAATGGAATATACCTTTGTTGGAATACTGGTACTTCAAATTCAAGCAAACGATCTGAGGTCAAGAACGAAGCAAATCACTCGACATTGCTTTCTGGTGTCTGAAAACTAGTTTTACAGGAAAAGGCAAAGAAAAAGAATTTATTTAGTCCAAAAGTTGATCAATCAGATCACTCGAATCCAAGGAATTTATAATTTTCATTGCTAACGCGTGGAAAATGTATTTGCAGCTATTGTTAAGTTACTGTTGGAGCATGAGCCAGAGTTGAGCAAGACAGTTGCTCAATCAAATGCAACTCCTCTTGTATCTGCAGCCACAAAAGGGCATACATCAGTTGTCCATGAATTGCTTTCCAAGGATTCTAGCTTGTTAGAGATATCAAGATCTAATGGAAAAAACGCGTTACATTTGTCTGCACGCCAAGGCCACGTGGATATTGTTCAAGCATTGCTGGAAAAGGATCCACAACTGGCAAGAAGAACTGATAAGAAAGGACAGACTGCTCTACACATGGCAGTAAAAGGCGTTAGCTCCGAAGTGGTGAAGTTGCTTCTGCAAGCAGATCCAGCTATTGTAATGCTTCCGGATAAGTTTGGCAATACTGCATTACATATTGCCACGCGGAAAAAGCGGTCAGAGGTAATCACTATTGCTTTGTTTAACTACTTTTGATGGCGTAAAGCTGTGATTCATTGTTCTACCTGGCCTAAGGGTTAAGACCATCTTAATATTTTCTCTCTCAATTTCGGTTTGATTTGATTTGAGCACGCTCAAATTTCGTTTTAGATACATCTGTTGGATGTGATTCATTGTGTCTTACTAGGTGTAGCTAAGATACCATAGGAGTTCAAATTATTACTATGGAGTAACCTTTCTCTCCGCGTCATGTCAAACGCCTTTTATTTAGACGTTGTAGAGATCCCTAAAGCACCTTTTAGACATTCTTGAATAATTTTTAGAGATAATGGTCAAAAACAAATGAACTATCACTTTTTTGTGAGTTTCACACCTCAACTATCAGTTGTTCTATTTTCCCACCTGCACTATCATCATCATCTATGTATTAAAACACACCTCAACGATTAGTTGTTCACGTAGGAATAGGAAACAACCATTAGGTTTCTCTGGATTTTCCATCCTTTTTAAGGATAAGAAGTTGTCAAGCTTTTGACTGTAACATAGCTTGTCAAATGAAACTGGTCTTTATAAGGCACTGGTAATGTTAGGCATTAAAGAATCTGTGGTTTTGAATTTAGCTTTCTATGACTACAGATAGTGCAAGAACTCTTGATGCTCGACGACACAAATGTCAATGCATTGACAAGAGAACACAAAACAGCTCTAGACATAGCTGAAGGTCTTCCTATGTCTGAAGAATCGACAGAACTAAAAGAGTGCTTAACACGTTATGGTGCTTGTAGAGCCAATGAATTGAATCAGCCGCGAGATGAGCTTAGGAAGACTGTGACAGAAATTAAGAAAAATGTTCACTCCCAGCTTGAACAAGCTCGAAAGACTAACAAGAACATGACTGGTATTGCAAAGGAGCTGCAAAAGCTCCACAGAGAAGGAATTAACACTGCTACCAATTCTGTAACTATTGTTGCCTCTCTTTTCGCAACAGTAGCTTTTGCTGCTATATTCACAGTTCCTGGTGGTGATCTTGATTCTGGATACGCTGTGGCGTCCAACACCCCTGCATTTAAGATCTTCTATATCACGAATGCTCTTGCACTCTTCACGTCCTTGGCTGTCGTGGTTGTACAAATCACAGTAGTCAGGGGTGAGACAAAATCAGAAAAAAGGGTTATTGGAGTGATTAACAAACTCATGTGGTTGGCCGCGGTTTTCACTAATCTGGCCTTTGTATCTGCTTCTTATGTAGTTATTGGAAAGCGTAATATATGGGCTGCAATTTTTGTTACAGTTGTAGCAGGGATCATAATGGCAGGGGTTTTAGGTGCCATGACTTATTATGTTGTGAAGTCTAAAAGAACTCGCAAACTCAGGAAGAGGGAGAAGTTTACAAGGACTAGAACCAACTCATTTCACACGGAATTATCCGATTCAGATTTAAATCCAATGTTTGCTCTCTGATTCAAGCTATAGTGGTTTCAGAGTATGTGTGTATGTGTGTGTCATCTCAGACAAGATACGAAGAACACTGATCGGTTGCAGTAGGTCGTTGCTGGAAATACTGAGGCTGCATTTCAGCAGTTTTGTTAACGAACTCGTCTCTGGTAACTGGCTGGAAATATTAATGGTAGATGAAGAGAAGAGAAAGCAATCACAGAAAGATGGTACAAGCACTATTTGCAGAAGGTTTTTGTTTGTGCTAGAAGTGCATAATATTTAAATTTCTACTAACGCAAATATATATATTGTCCCCTATTCTTTTTTCAGTTCTCTTAAATTCTTTTTTGTCGATAAAATTTTGCCTTATTCTTAGTTGGTGTATTTCTTTCTATTTGATCTCAGACCATCATCTTGTTAAGTTAAATGCTGTTTCTTTTCTCAATTTATCGACTGAATATGGAAATTGTGGAAATAAGAAATTCAGAAAACTAAAATGAATATATGATAACGTCTTTTATGTAAAACCATGGCTTCAAAAATGGAGAGAAAAACTCGTACTAAAAATGTAAAGCTATAAAATGAACATATGAACTGTGGCTGTACAAAGGACTCAATGCAACTTGTACAACATCGTGAATTAGAAGGGTAGGTTGGTCGATTACGACACTTGGAGAGAGTGTGTCCTTGTCTTTGGCTTCATCCTGTATGCACTATGCGCAGGGCAATAGGTTACGAGGCAAGTGTGTCCTGGTGCTAAGGGCACTGCCTGCTGATCGGTGCTGTGGCCTGTGGGCACAGGTGTGTGTGACTGGTGGGGCGACATAGTCACAGGCGCACTTGTCAGTTAGCTACACCAGGGGACGGGACAGTCCATGACACCAGGTCAAGAAATCGCCCATGACATTGTTTCATAGCCTGTCTTAGGTAGGAGAATACCTATATCATCGAACTTTCTACATACTGTTTTAACTGATTGTTAGCCTCTCGGGATCTTGTTTAGCAATTCTCCATTTGCACTGACATGAGAAATGATGGTTGAAGGAGGATTTGCATATTTTCACCAATAGTCTCTACAAGAGCAAACACCATTCTTGAAGTGGTGAAAACGATGACGGTCTCTAATGACTATTTCTCTCTCAAAGCTAGCAGAAATCAGCTTCATAGCTGCATGACAATCAGGGCAAATGCGAAGGTTTTTCACCACACGAATGATAGTTGTTTTATCAGTTGCAATAAGTCCGAAAGCAACAGCCATTTTCTCACTGTGGAAGAACAGAGCCTTTTCCTTTTCCTCCTCTTCAACGTCGAAAAATACCTCTCTGGTGCTTGCAACATGGCCTGCCCTCTTCAGTCGTCTATAAATCTCATCTATCATATCATATATTTCTCTGGCTTGAAGGTGTTTTTTCTCTTGGACACCAAATTCGTGTATTACCCCATTAACCTCAATGGAGCTAATCCCTCGCGATTTACCAATGCCTTTTTCCTTCATCAATTTTCGGACCTTTGAGACATCTTCCCACCTTCCTGCATTAGCATATATGTTGGACATAATTGCGAGGTAGCCCCCGTCCTCAAGGTCAAGTTGGATCAAGTGTTCTATCGCCTTTTCAGCAAGCTCAACATTTCTATGTATCTTGCATGCTCCTAGTAAGGCTCCCCAGGCACCCGTGTGTGGCGCATATGGCATAGATTGTATCAAACTATACGCCTCATCTAGCAAACCAGCTCGACCAAGGAGATCAACCATACAACCATAATGCTCCAACTTTGGTGTTAACCCAAACTCCTCAGACATGCCATAAAAGCACTTCTTTCCCTCATCAACCAACCCTGCATGCACACAAGCACACAGAACCCCCAAAATTGTCGCATCATTTGGTCTTTCAGATTCATCTTTCATACGGTAAAAGAAGTTCAATGCAGTTCTACTCTGCCCATTCATCGAGGACCCCATGATCATAGCACTCCAAGCTACAACATCACGTTCAGACATCTTATTGAAGACATCCACAGCACTCCCTAAATCACCACACTTGCAATACATATCCACCAGCGCTGTTCCAATAACAGCATTTAACTCAGAACACCTCCTATCAATATATGAATGCAACCATTTCCCAATTTCCAGAGCTCCAGCTTGTGCACAAGCAGAGAGCAAGCTTGTCAGGGTAACATCATCAGGCGATAAATTCACTCTTTCCATTTCATAGAAGAATCTCATAGCTTCATTAATCCTCCCATCACGTACGAGCCCTCCAATTACCGTATTCCAAGATACCAAATCCCTACAAGGCATTTCATGAAACAATCTTAAGAGACATTCAACTTCACCATTCTTGGCAAGGCAACCTAAAATTGTATTGCACATGAGCAAATCCTTAACAGGAGCTCTATCAAAATACTTTTTCGCTAGCTCCAAGTCCCCAGCTTTGACATACCCCAGGATTAAGGTATGCCAAATTACAAGATCCTTACATGGTATCTTTTCGAACAAATCACGAGCTTTCCCCATGTCATTAAACTTGTTAACATAGCTCGACAACATCGCATACCATGTTACCTCATCTTTATCCGGCAATTCCTCAAAAACTCTCTTCGTCATGTTCAAATCCCCCATAGCAGTATAAAAATCAACCAAACTAGTACCCACAAAGACATCAAAATTGACCCCAATTTTAACAACCTGACCATGAAGACTCACTCCTTTAGCAAACTCCAGTAAACCCGAACAAGCACGAATGGTGAAAGGGTAAGTAAATCTATCAGGCTGTACATTGTTTACCCGCATTTGATCAAAATAATAAAGGGTGTATTTCGGAGAATGATTCTGTTGGAACCCTCTTATGAGTGTATTCCATACAAACGAATTTGGTTCAGACATTTGATCGAACAGTTGGGCTGCATACGACATTAGTCCAAGAGAAGCACAATGGGTGATGAAGTTTCCAACGGCGAAACTGCTGTGATGAAGGCCAGTGCGGAGGAGGTATACATGGAGGGATTTTAGGTGATTCAAAGTGGAGAGCTTGTTGGGAGACTTTAGCAGAGAAAGGGTAAATTGTTTCTGCTGCCATAGCCCACTGCAAGGTCCATTCATTGGCGCCTTGGTGTGGAGTTGGGATCGATTAAATATAGATGTGTGAACTCAAACTCAAAGTATTTCACGAGGCAGTTAAACAAACACATCAAATGAAAAGTTTTGATATCAGTCTTTCATAGTAGTGCATCTATCTTCTTGAAATCGTGGATTTGTATTTAATAATATTGGCATAATGTATATGAGAAATTAAAATATTCTTGACTACGTATTATAGAAGAAATGCAAGTAATGTTGAAGAAAGGAAATTAGAAAGGGGAGACCACATAAAGTACAAGAGGCGCCATTCGATTAATTTTATTTCCTATGCTTTTAATGAAATGACAATGTGAATTGACCACGACTACAAAATCGTTTTTATACACTTGTAATAAGAAAAAAAGTTCACTGCATCCGGCGTTTACATCAAACTAATGACGATAGGACAAGCGTCTTGCATATAAACTTTTGTTATCACAAGTGATATGTACTCTCACTTTAGTATGTATATCTTAGTATTACGTTTCTTAATTTGGTAGAAACATTGGGTGCGAGTAAATATTTTTCCGACCAAAAAATCAGCAGTGGCAACCCCCTCCTTTCAAAGAGCTAGAAGTGATCAAATCAACAGAATAGATCCATCTGTATGGAGACAAAATCTCTACAAGAAATTGATGTCTGAGATGGGCATTTTCCAATAGTTCCATATGTTATAATCTTCCTGCAAACAGAATGAAAATCCAGAAATATGTGACAAAGTGCCTACTTAGTAAACCACAAATTTAGTCAAATGTCCCAGATAAATCAGTAAATGAAACAGTGGTTTGTAATGGAAACTGACTGAAGAAAGAACGGAGACGTATTCATCCAAATAGTCAAAACGATGATGGTGGGGATAAAAACTAACAAGAGATTTTATCATTTGTGCAAATAACACACATTTTGTGGGGAAGATATATAGTTGTCAACTTTCTAAATCTATCGGTGAAGTTAGATGTAAAAAGTCACGGGAATGGAGGGGGTGAACAAGACGAGATGTAGAGAAAATTGAATTCTCTCTAACTTGGATTTATAGGTGTTGAAACAACATAAATAACACACCAATATATGTGAGCCTAATTAAAGGATTGAATATGGTGTTTTTGTTGCAGCATCTGACAATGCTAAACCTTTAACCCCTCATACTCTTCTTTCCATTTTTGGGTCGTTCTGCTTATCTGCCATACCCACAATCCTCCTTCATACGAAGGCATCGCAACACATACATCAAATCAAGATCAAATAAAAGATTTTCCATCCCTTCTTTAAACTCGTCTATCCCTCGATCAACTAGATGGGCCTAGGATAAGGTATAAAAAAAGTGACAGCATTGCATCTATTTCACCCCTAAACTGTATCAATTATCTCCCCTTTTAAGACTTGAATACATGCAAACTAATGAGATGATAATACACGAGAAGATGAGAAATTGCTTCTGACCTGCTCAGCCATGGATGTCGGTGGGAACATGTCATCAACTAGACTGTGCAATGAAGTATAGGATTTCACATCAATTTGGTTATTAATCGACACCTCCCCCTGTGAGTCCACTTAAACATGTTAGCCAAACATTGTACACTAAATTAACAAATCCTGTAGTTGACAACAAAGCATATGGCAGGGATTGCTAACCTTTGGGTTGATTATAAAAATTTTGCCTTTAGGAATTCCAATTTTTCTGTAACTGAATTCATCAGTGTCCCTATTCCCAAACCCTGCATAAAATGGGTTGTAATCTTGTGGGAAAAGTGCTTTGATGTCCTGAAAAGTACAAATAGCATTAGAAAGGACAACCATTAGAAGATACCAAATGGTTGGAGTCCACACGAAGAACTGTCAGCTTGAGGTGCATACCTCTAAACAGGCTATCTTGAATTCATGAGGAGCTCTTCTTATAACTGTCATGATGAAAAGAAGGAAGAAGTAAATCGAATAAGATTACATGTAATCCTTCTTAAAGTAGGAAAATGATTGCCTTCAACATGCATTCAATCGCCACTTTGAAAATGATGACATGGTATCAAATAATAGGCAGAAAAAGAGACAAAAATCTCTACCAAACTGGAACAACGTTTCCATTAGACAATCAGCAAATGCACATGAAGAAAGAGTTATGGAAATTAGGACATCAAAAGAATACAATTGAAGAAATATCGTGCTTAGTGTATTTACTTCCCATCAGATTTAGATTAACTTATAGAGCAGGAATATAATCTGCATACTCCAAGCTAGATCTTTTCCTTTTACAAGAGAAGAGAACATAGCCAAGTCTATGGTGGAGCTAACTATGGCATACAAGCATTCTTTTGCTCAATGGTCGAAAGTCGAAACATATGCAACCATCCACATGAACTCAAAATACTCATGATCCTACCAGAAAAGTAAATACTCCCTCCGTTTCGATTTGTTTGCCTTATTTTGACTTGGCATGAAGTTTAAAAAAGAAAAAACACTTTTGAATCTTGTGGTAGTAAATTAAAGATATGTCAAATATACCAAAATGCCCTTTAATCTTGTGGTCTTAAAATGCCATGTGAAAAGTTGGAATTAAAAAGTTTCTAAAAAAGGAAAGTAGGACAAACAAATTGAAACACAGGGAATAGTAAATTTTCAAGAGGACATATGTTAGATAACCACAAGTACAGAGAGAAATCAACTAAGCCACTTCTTCTTTTTTGGGTGTGGCAAAGCAGCATATAGGCTCTTCAATGTAATCGTCTGCAGAAAATGTCGGTAAACTATTCCATGAGGAAACCAGAGATTTATAATACTTTCAGCATGGACAAACACCAAGAAATATGTCCAACTTTTATGCACCGATCAAGCACTTTGACGCAGACAACAAGCATGAGAAGACATTAGAAGGATACGGCCGTACCTTCTCTATACAACGATGGAAATAAACCATCAGGAGAAATGACAACAGGTCCAGTGGGTAGGGTTTTTCCATCCTACAGAGCATATAACCTTTATAGTCAGAGAGATCTGTTGGATAATCAGACCGCAGAGCAATGACAGGACAACAAAAGTCACATCCAAGAAATTCAAAGTGGCACATACTGTTGAACGACAAGTATCATGAGCAAAATGATCCTCTAAGACTCTTTTTATTCCAAGAAGAAAAGAAACAGACACACACACAGAGGGAGAGAACAATGAATAGTAGGAGAAAAGTACAAGTAATGAAAAGAAAAGGCCAAATTGTGAGAGTTGCGAGTCAAGCTAATCTAAACATCATAAGACCCACTAGATATTTGAAAATGTTTAAGGAGAAATTTCAACCAACTCGTTCCCTGGGATTCAGAAGAATATGTCGCTATAATTCAGAAGCCTAGGACTGGTGTGGCTGATGTCTCATGAATGCATATACTATTACCTGTTTGAGATTGAACAGGAAATTCTTGGTCAGATATGCTTGAACAATAGCACGTGCACTGAGAAAGAGTAGCTGATATCCGTTTTCCTGCAGTTAATAAGCTAAAACATATCAACACTAGTATCCATGATAAACTATTAAGGAAAACTTGGGTCAATATAAGTGAAATAGAAGTGAGGTAAAAAATGTTCAGCATCATTTGTGTCAGACACCCATGCTATTTCATATAAGTCTTCCTTAGGAGATGCAACTGAACTAACGGTGAAAATCCAATCAACAATTAATTGAACTTGAAGCAGTTTAAGAACTGATGGTCAAAATATTAGAAGAATCAAATTTAGACATATTTTGATGATCTATTTACAAAAAGATGGCATAAAACAGATTCCACCACACAATATACTCAGAAATTTGGACAGGAATTCCCACGAACTATTAATTTCCTCAAGGAATGGCATCTCGCCCAGGAATTCTGCATGCTACTTGATACATATTATAAAATGTAGTTGTGTAGAAAAGTAGAGACAGCAGATATCATGATATGGTGGTGTTGATGAATAATCTTAAGCTGGTTCTTAATGTGACTTGTCAGTTGTCACAATCAAAATGGGTAAGCAAACACATGTCCTAGTTAGACACATAATAAATATTACTGTTTTATAGAACTAATGGAGTGTTCAAATGCAAAATCTCGAATGTGGGTCAGAGAAAGAAGTACCTTGATTGCAGAAAAAAGTCTGGCAGTTCCAAAATGTGTCCAGTCCTTCCCAACCAAAGGCATAAACTGACCAAGAACATCGGACCTGGACGATGAAACATGTAGCCCAAAGGTATGTTATCATATATATCCACATCCATAGTCAATTTTGACAATGTGGATTATTACTTTTACTTCTAAAGAAATAATGATCACTAAGCATATTTTTCTCACATAAATCAGATGAAGCTTACAGTAGCGTATTTCTCAATAGGCACCCCAAAAAAATATCTTCTCATTGTTCAACTCAACTACGCATGAATCAGAATTTTTGGTATTTCAGTTCTACTCATTTCCGATAACTTAACACAATCTAACCTTGTCAGACATTAGCCTTTATTGATAGCCTCATAAACTTTTAAGGTTATAGATATTCTTGGGGAAGATATAAGGGTTATAAATGCATTAAGCAATGTTCAACTGAGTTCAGAACTTCTGCTAATCTAGTAACTTAGACAATGCACAATCCATATGTAGTCTAAAAAGAAGAACAAGAATCGTTCCATTTTTTATGCAGCAGTTCAAGAAAATAAAAACTCCCAAGTCCATCCCGATTTATTTGACAGAACTCCTACTTTTATCCATTAAATCTTTAATGACTTCAAAGGACTTTATAAGTTCAAGTATGCAAAAGACAATTTCTAGATAGCATGCACAAACATTCAATTTTGAAGGCCAAAAATTTTAGTGCAAAATCTTACTTGGTAATAGTCCCATCAACATCAGAAATAACAATTTTTGCGTTCCACTTCCACAAGTATATATGGGATTCAACCTGTTTCAGAAAGTTGCTTGAGCAACCAAAATAAGAATACAAAAATACAGTAGATCACGTCATTAGAACAAAATATTTTGATTGAAAGAAAGACGACAAACCTTTTGCTCCCCTAGGACTCGGGTTGAGAAAATGAAAGTTACCACATTCTGCCCCTCCTTCAAGTTTAAAGATGTGATTTGACTGGAAGTGGGAATATTTGTTCTCACGAGTTGCAACTGAGGAGATTCCTTGCCTCCTTGAGCGATTGCTGTTTGTTCTATAGGCTGGTACACAGAACCAGATTCAGAATCAACAAAGACCTCTTCATTTGATGAACTACAGTTACTTTTCTCAAGTGTCTTAACCCTTCTAAATGGATTTGGCCAGAGAGTCCATCGTCTTCCAGAAGGAACTGAAGAGATCTCACTACCATCCTCTCCTGATTTTGAGGTCTCCCCCAACTCCACAGGTATGAAATCAGCACATTCAACAGGCAGTTCCATATCACATTCGGCCATGGCAAGAATGATAGGAGCAGCTCTATCCCACAAAATATAGTTTCCTCGAATTCTGACAACTAAGTTTTTGTTCTTGATTATGGATTCTGAAGAACTTCTGAATTCCTCCTCAGATATGTAATTTGCATCAAAGGCTTCTCTAGCAGCACTAGAACCCATTCCAGCATGAAGCAAGCTGCCACAAAGAGATATCTCTACTCCTGTCACTATTACTAAAAGTGTGCGAAATTAGTGAGAATTTGCAATAAATCAAAAAATAAATGAGAGTCTGCAATTGTATTCAACAACAAGAGGGACCCCCCATTTGTGCTGAATCAGCTTTTGTACCTTTAAGAAAAGCTTCTATAAGATGCTTCACATTTTCACATTGCATACATTCATCTGGTTCTTGCTGGCCACTCTGTATTGCTTCAGTTGCTAAAGATACATCATTCTTTTTCTCAGGGTGTTTATCACTAACAACCTGATGGTCTATTGAGCCATCAGAACCATTAGAATCCATCACTGATTCGCCTTGCGGAAGGGTTTTAGCAGGATTTAACGAACTGCTGTCTCCCAGTTTCCCAGGAGGCTTCTTTTCTAAATCGTCAACGACTTCCTGGATCTTCACAGGAGAAACCACATCTGGCTGATTTACCTCATTCTCAACATGTGTGCCAGACGCTTGGAGCTCCAAACAGCTGTTGGACACTGCATTCTTCTTAATGACACATGATGTAATCTCCAGATTGCCATTTTCCTGGTTCTTGACGTCCAGATTCACTGGATATTGACCATCTACTTCAGAAACATCTGTCTGGTGCTCAACCTTACTGCTCTCTTTTTTCACATCGCAAGCGTCTGCAGGAGCAACTTTTGGTGACGCCTGATAACTCAGATACTCATTAGCCCATGTAGCTTCACCTGAGATGAACTCTGAGTTACTATCAGAAAAATCTGTCCCCTGACCAGGACCTAGATGAAACCTAGGCGTGTCTAATTTGACATCTTCCACATTCATTTCAGATGATAAGATGGGTGCTTTCAATATATGGCCATCCACACTCACCATAACAACTTCAGAACTGGAGTCCTGTGATTCCAGGACCTCCTCAACATTATCTGCGTTCTCACATCTGCTGGAACTAAGTTCTGCTACAGCCGAATCCTCCAAAGAAGATTGTTCGTCCAGAAACTCATAGGATCTCCTGTCACCATCGGAATCTCCCCCGTCTAATCGTTCTATACCCAATGTCACATCTTCATCTCGCGATGAAAACTCAGCTTTATTAGAGTCATTATCCTCCTTTACACCTTCGTTATTGTTCACATTATCAAGATCACTAGTATCCACTTCTTCCTTTTTAGCAGAATCCCTTATATCCCCATTCACATTATCAGCAACAACCTCTCTGATAAAATAAGCTTCACCCGAATTATCAAGATACATATGAAAATCAGCTTCTACACCGTTAACTTCAATTCGAACCACTTTTTCTGCCCCTTTAAGTACACCCTGAAATTTACCAAATCGAACATGCCAAGGGGTACTCCTAAAAGTCTCATCATTCTGCTTCACGACAATTATATCAACTGCTCCACCAAAAGGGTGAAATGGGGTAGCAACTGAATACACACCCTGTGTTATAAAGCTACTAACTTTACCAACCACATTCATTTGCACCCCTCAAAAACTCAAAACCCCAGATACAAAATTATCGAAAACTCCAATTATTTAAACCTACAATGTAATTTTCTTCGTAAATCAAAAAACAACCCAATCCACAATCTGCATGGAATCAAATAATAGCAATGTGTGATCATACATGTTACAAATTCAAAATACCCAAATCACATAAATTTTATATCTATAAGCTTCAAAATACAAAACCCAAATGAAATTTTTCGATACAAATGCATGAGAATGAACGATTCATGAAAATAATTTTTTTAAAAAACTATAAAAACTTACAGATGGAAATTTTCAATGTGACAAAAATTGAATGTAGCCCAGAAAATCTTCAAGCTCCAATTATATAAGTGGATCAATTCGAAATTGATCTCACCGCTTAATGGGGTTGAAGAAAGAAGAAGAAGAAAATAATATACCCGAAAATTCTTTCTCTTCGAATTTTTTGTTTTATACTTGCTCTGTGTGATTTATGTGGCACTTAATTCAAACTATATACAAAATTTGGATCACCATTTTAAAATATATTTCCATCATATTAATATAAAAAGAATTATAATTATATATATTTAACTTTAACTTTAAAAAATATTAAATTGATTTAAACCATAAGTTAATTAAGCATAATAGATGATAAATATTTTAATTTGATTTTTACTAGTTGCACATCTAGATATCTCAAATGATCTCCACACTAGCATCGAATGTCTATGAAACATAATAAAAATTTATTGAGGAATCTAAATGTGCATTCTCAAAAGAGAGAAGTATTGAAAACACTAGCTTTAAAAACACCTTCTTTTTTCTATGACAAGAAAAATTCGCAATTGCTAGCCTTTGGGTGAGCACAGGGTAAAGTTCCCGCTCCTATGCAATAACTCGCAAACCACACAGGAGAGGTAACCCGCACTAAGCAAGTTGGGTGCGACGAGCTCGATCCAGAAGGCAAATATTTTGCTTTCGTTGGCAAAGGCAAAGGGGTTTCGAACTTGAGACCTCCAACATGAAAGTCTCAAGCCCAAAATAATGGCCACTCTGAGGGGTAATACACCTTTTTACTTAACTAATTGAAGTTAAATATTTTTCGATCTTACAACATGAGTGAAATACACCCCATTTTTAATACTTTTTTTATTTTTTATTAAGAGTCGCATGTTGCTCCAAGAGTTTGAGATCATTTGTTGTGTCATATGCCAAATTGATGATGTATCTAAGTTTAATTAGTTAAAATAAATTAATATTTTTTAAGACTATTATACTTCAAAATTAAAACTAATAATTTGTGATAAATTCAGAAGTCTTTTTAATACTTCTCCCTTGTCAAAACTCAAATGTTTAGCTATTTTTGGGATATAATTAGTTGTGATACAGATAGAGATGTAACGTCAAAGATTTTTCTGCAAAAGGGTTGATGAGGAATTGAATGAATTTTTGGGGAAAACCAAACCAACCAGTCATAAATTCCTATGTTTATTTTTGTCAGAATTATCTCAAAGGATCACATAACACATCACTTCCATCGAAAACTTATATACTCGGGGCGTATAAAATCCAAAATAATAAGTAAAAGTGAAAGGATGAAATAAAATTTTAAAGAAAAATAAATGTTAGATATTTGTATGATTATAAATTATTTTATTCAAGATAAAAAAAATTAAAGCTAAATTGTTTTTGATTATAAAGTTTGAAGCTTCAAGTTTCAAATTTTGGGATTCACCAAACGAACTTCATTTTGAATAAATAGAATAGGGGAAAAGGTTAAAAATATCTCTCAACTTTTATTTATTAGTTGATTTTATTCTACCATTAAAATAAAGTTGTTCTTACTCTTGTCGTCTACAAATTTATCATTTGTACCCTTCAATTGGATGAAAAGCCCCAGATCAAATAAAATTATCCAATTTCGATTAAAATGACTCGATTTCTTTTTTTTAATACTCAATCCATCAAACCAAATAAATTCATATATACAAAATTAAAACCCCAGACGCATCTCTCTAAGAGAGATGGGTTTGTAGTTTTAATTGGTAGGAATTCATTTGGTTTAGTGGTCGGATTCAAATTAAAAGAGAAAATCGAATGATTTTAATTGAAATTGGATAATTTTAGTTAATTTAGGGCTTTTCATCCAATTAAAGGGTACAAATGATAAGTATAGTAGAATAAAAACAACTTCATTTAACGGTAAGGATAAAGTCAACTAATAAATGAAAGTTGATAGATATTTTTGACCCTTTTCCCAATAGAGTATTATTTTATAGAGTACATTTCGAGAAGTTCATATTTCGAATTTGAGAGATTTTGATACAACAATGAGATGAATTTGGGTGATTTTTGGGAAACATTCAAATATTGAGATGAACTTAGATGAAGGAACCAATCTAGTCGTAGTGATATGATTGAAATTTCTTATCTTTAATAAAAGATCTCGAAATTAAACTTTTAAAAAAAAAAATTATTAAAAATATCACCTCTAAAAATGAATTCTACAATACATAAATTTAAATTATTTGAGTCAATACGGATACAAGGGGAAAAAAAAGTCTTGAAGGATGTGAAACTATAAGATAACTTGTAGTTAACTATGGATAGCTGGTCTCGTGTTCTAGAAGGTGAAATCCAACTCAACTTGGTAAGGCTTATGTAATTCTTATAACTTCCATTCCGATTTATATGATATTTTTTTACTATTTAACATTTAAATAATATAAATTTTGATCATTTTTAAAAATATTCCTTTTTATAATATGGGCAATTGCAACTTATATAATTTTTTTAATATCAAAATTTTGATTTTAAAAGATTAAATAAATTTAATTTAATTTAAATTAATTTTAAAGATTAATCTAATTAATTTTTTATAAGCAAAAAGTGCCATACATATTGAGAGAAAGGTAGTATTTAAGTATTCCATATGTCTCAATTTACATGTGGTACAGTTATAATTTCATGATTCAGATTTGTTAACTTTAATTATGAACTTGGGCATAAAAGCTTTAAGTTTTTTAAAATAAAAAATATTATATACTTGAAAATCATGTAAAAGACTATGAATCACAATAATTTCTTAGCTTAAAATACTTAAAACACATATAAAGGAATTCCAATAATTTATTTATTTTTAACTCTCACAATTTTATATATGTCATATAAGAGCCCGGTTGGCATTGTTGTTGGGAGCTCAGAAGCACTTATTTTGAGATTATTATTTTTTTGAAAAATTAGGTGTTCGGCGAACCTGTAAACCTGCTTTTTAAATGGAAGCTGAAGCAGTTTTCTATTATTGGGAAGAAGCTATAAATTTCTGCTTCTTAAAAAAAGCAGAAGCAGAAAATTATTTCTTTCAAGATTAAAATGTCCCTTCCATATATATATATATATCTTATTAATTAATTAACATATCTCATATGTTTGGTTAAGTTCCATTTAATAATTTTATTTTTTATTGTTATATAATAAATTTTATATTTTATTTTATGTTTATGTATTATTTTTTACGTATTATTATACAGAATTAGAAAAAGAAAAGAAAAGAAGGTAACAACAATATTTTTGTAAGATTAGAAAAAAAGAAAAAAAAATATCAATTAAAGATTTCAACCCTTCAAAAAATGTATAATATTGATAGAAAAATTGAATATGAGCATTTTAATTTAATAAAAATAAAAATTTAATCTATTTTTTTTGTAACAGATGTTTAAACTAGTTTCTCCCTATAGAATAATCTTAGTATTAAAAGCATAATAATACTTGTCCTTAATCGTAATTTGACTCTCAAAAGCATATTTAAAAAAGATCAGCCGAACACAATTTGCTTATAAAAAACATTTTTCAAATGAATTAGCCAAAAACAAATTATTTTTTTCAAAAAAACTTTTCTGAAAAGTTATTTTAAAAAAGTATTTCTAAAAATAAAAATAATTTTTAGCGGCAATACCAACATGCTTCTAAATCAAGAAAGAAAGAGTATTTTTTCAACATGTGTAAAATTAGGTACAAACTAATTAGGAATTAGGATATACTAGCAACTAATTTAATCCTATTTCGAACTTACCATTTCCAGCTGAAAATAATCAAAATTTCGTAGTAATATATTAGTTATTAAATCTCAATATAATATACATGGATTCGTACATGTGATGTAATTGTTTAGGTACATTTCATGCATGATCCTTTTATGAGTATATTTTTGTCCTAATTTACGTTCCATCACTTAAATATTGAATAATTATCGATTTAATTTCGATTGTGAATTCGAACATAAAAATTTTTAAATAAAATTTACAAGCTGGAGACGAAATGTCGGAAATGGAGATGATAATGTCAATTAGGGCTGTGTATCAGATGATTTGATTCAGGTTTAAAGTTTATCAATTTGACTTATCAATTTATAGATAGTGGCGGAGTCAGGAATTTCACGAAGGGTGTCCAGAAATTGCACAACAAAAGGTATTTTTGAAAAAAGGGAAAAAATTGTTGCTAGTGAACAAAAGGTCTTTTTAAAAAGTTAAAAAGAAGTTGTTCGAACACGCGACCACTAACTCATTCAAGGTGTTTGAAACACCTTAAAAAGGTCTAAAACCACTGGGCTATAACAACCTATTGTGTCAAGGGTGTCCAAAATATGTTATTTAATCATTTCGTGTATCATTTTACTTGTATATACGGTATTTTTTTCCGACAAAGGGTGTCCAATTGGACACCCTAAATTGCATGTGTCTACACAAGTGTTTATAGATTCTTTAAATATTAGTTTATCGATTATTAATTTATTAGTTATGATTGATTTAGGTGTTAAAATTTCAAAAACAAAAAATAATAACTGAAATCACTTTTAAATAAATGAAAAACCATTGAACCATGCATACAAGTTGACATCTTGCATCTAGTGTAATAGCAAACACTGATACTTTGTAGAATAAACAAGAGTTTGAGACAGTCAAAACTAAAAATATGAAACTAAACCTTAAGTCAAGAACTTTATACATCAAATGGTATAAATGTAATATGTACATAATGAAAATTTATGGGACTCTGCAAGCTGCAAAACGTGTTCAATTCTGATTGTGATCCTACAAGGCGTATTCAA